ATTTTTTGTTTTTTTTTTTTTTTTTTTTTGGAAAAAAACATTTTTTTTTTTTTTTTTTTTTTTTTTAGACCAGCAGGAGCATGAACGCTGATCTCGCTGCCTCTCCTGTAGATAAACAAAGAGTCAACTTGAAGGAACTTGCGGACACAGTTCTGCTTTGTTTCTGTCTTATCTATTCCATTCTGACCCATTTGTGCCGGTTGTGTGCATGTTTTTCTTTCCGTTTAGTGAATGAAGGTGGTGTCAGACAGGCGTCTAACTCCTGCCCTGACCCAGGAGAGCCGGAAAATGGAAAACGCCATGGAAATGACTTCAGGTACAATTTGTTTTTAGATGTAGCACCTTGGCCAAGTATTGGTACCCACTGCAAAAACACATAAAAGCCATTGATTAAATGCATCTTTTTTTACACCCCCCAAAAAAACATTTAATTAAAGATCCTCGCCATCTTAGTAGGCAAGCCAGTGCGCAATGCATAGCAGATACATGGCTTCGAGACCAACTAAAAGAAAATATGTGAACACTCTTGACCAACGTGCGAGAGAAAGATACATGAACAAAATCGCTGCTGTTGGGATCGACCAGAGTGAAACAGAGAGTAGAAACATGTCAGACGATTGTTTTCCGCCAGAAAACAATCGTCTGACATCAAGCTATCTTAAAAGCTTGTTGATGAAAAGCTAGATCATAACTTCCTGTGATCAGATCGTAGTGTTTCAGTAAAAGCCCCTGTAGAGTTTAGCAAAGCTCGTGTTTAGAGTTGCGATTGGGGGATTTGAAAGGCATTTCCCCACTGCGACTACTGAACATGAGGTTGGCATTTAGATGACGTCTAACTGTTGTTGAGGAAGACTGCTGATCTCATAATGCTGCTTTTTTTTTTTGCTGTTCTTACACAGTAACTGATTGCGTAAGGAATTCCTTATCCAGCCTTCATTTGTTGTCACGTCTTCAATTGTTTTAAAGTATTAAAATATTTATGTGATTGTGTAGTTAAACCCCGCTGGCCAAATTCAAAAATTATTTTATTTCAGTAGATTGACTTAACAGCTCATTTTAACCACCTTATTCAGTGTTTTCAATGGTATGTGGATAATTTTGACCTTAGAAGGCCTTCTTCCCATCACTCTCATTTAACTCCTTTAACAAATTCTATCAGATTTAAATTGAAATTCTGGTCAGGCCTCTCCAAATGTTATTACTTCCAGTCAAATAGAAGATAACTTTAAACCCAAAGTTATTTTTTTTACAGTTCTACCCAAAATCTTGATAATTTTGGTTGTCTTTCGCATTTTAAAGAGTTGCCTCTGTATTCCAAGCAAACAGGAAGTTATGAGAAAATCTGATCAGATCAGTCACAATAACATTACAAAAGTGTGAGGATTTTTTTTTTTTTATTACACATATATTAGGACATTTGTAAAAACAACAACAACAACAAAACCTGTATTTTATTTTTATTTTACCATAACCTTTGTTTTCTGTGTGATGCTTATGTGCTTGTGTGTGTTGATTTAGCATTGGCAGTGTGGTCCAGTTCAGTTGTGGAGAGGACTACGTGCTGCAGGGCAGCAAAACCATCAGCTGCCAGAGAGTGGCCGAAGTCTTCGCCGCCTGGAGTGACCACAGACCAGTCTGTAAAGGTACAACTTGCCGGGTTTCGCAGTCCATCTCTGACTCTAGGTGTGCTTTCATCATTGAGGCTGTGACGGCTGTTGCTCAGGACCAAGAAAAATATGCAAAAACGATCCAATTAAACTGTGAACATCCACCCAGTGTTATCACTGATGAATAAATCTCTGTATTTTTTTTTTAAGGTGATGCATGTGTAATCACTTCTTAGTCTGAACACTGCATTTTCAACAGTCGACATACTTCAAAGTTTATTTGCCAAGTGATAGGTGGGCCCAGATTTACAACACACACACACACACACACAGTGAGAAAGAGAGAAAGAGGGAGAGTGTGTCTGCCATGTTAAATGCCAAAGTCGTTTGTCATTTCTTTCCTTACTTGGCTCGAGACTGTAGTGGGACACATTCTTTAACTTAAAACAAAATATTCACAGTGTATCTGTGTGTGTGTGTGCCTGTGACGAGAAGAAAGGCCTCTTGTGAGTTAGGTTTCTGGCAAATTTTATTTTAATTTGAAAGCCATGCATTGTGTAGCACTTTGTCTTGTTAAAGTCCCAATGAAATGCACAAGAATTTTTGATTCTAACGTGAAAAAAAAAAAGAAAAACCCACGAGAAAGTTAAGTTGTTATGAATACTTTGCAACTGACTGTGAAATTCTCCTAAAACTTGACATGGGAGCAGAGAAACACATAAACCTTTAGGTGATCTTTGCCAAGATTTCAGATTGTAGCTCTTTAGGATTCACTTTGTTGACTCCTGTTATGTTCTTTTTTTTTTTTTTTTTTTCCCTTGGAAGCAAAATGCAAGTAAATAAGATATAACTCAAGACTTATGCATAGTCTCATACATCAAGTCATTCCTTGAACTGTAGTCGGAATGAATTTCAGCAGGATGGGAAGAGGGCAAAAAGAAGCTGTAAAAAAGTCAAAAACATCACTTCCGCCTTAAGGCTGCTTTAGTCATATGCTTTAAAAGGTCAATTATTTAGTATATTACTAAGCATTTATAAAAGCGCAGCAGCTAAACTCTGAAACCACTCCGAGCTTGTAAGGCGATTTAGTGTTTGGCCCAAAGTCAGCTGAACAGGGTGGATCCTCGCTTGGGTCGGGTTCTGCTCTCTTGCCTTTAGGTTAAAGGACACAAGATAAACACTGCCCTTGACTGAAATCCTGCGATTTTTATTTGTGAACCAGACACACAGGTGCACTGACCTCCTTTGGGTTAATATTACTAGGACTGCACCAATTCTTCTAAGGATTTAACCGAGGTACTATGAATCCAGCATGCCTTTCTTATTATGGCTTCTGCTTAATCCTTCCAGGCAAGCTTATTATCTAACTCATTATTAGATATATGTAATAATAATTTGAATTGACTCTTCATTATTTTTAATGACTGTTAGGGACTCATTTCACCCTATAATGAGTTGTTAAATAAAACTGCTGAGATAAAGCCAGTTAAGTCTTGCTTCTACCTGTGTCCACTGATGGAATGGGGCTTTAAAAATCCTGGATTTTTTTTTTTTTTCTCAACAGGAGCAACACATTAAGAAAGACTATAGCAACCCTACTAAAAACAGAGCCGCCAGTCAACGGATATCCTTGCTGGAAAATTACATTTTCTCTGGCCCACTGTAACTGTAAAGCATATCTTTTTTACGAAAAAATAAAACTTAATTGCCCGGAGTTCTAACATAAGCTACTTTTACAATGCATACCACTGTCCCTCATGGCTGTTGCTAAGAAACCAATAAGTCAGCAGTATTTGTTATTATAAGCATCATACTTCATAAGGTGCCGTTGCTTCTTTAGAGTCTCAAAAATGAAAATGCACAGACATAAGTTTGGATTAAAAGACACGTTTTGGAAACTACTTGTTACCTTTTTTGAGTATTGAAATTTATGTCAATGTTATTGACATAAATTTCACATTTATTAGAACAAAATGCCATCAAATTCAATTCAAATTCAAAAACACTATTGATCACAGAAGGAAATGAAATGTTCTTGTAAATCATATTATTTCAAATTCTTTAATGAGTTTTTGTAGGTAGCGATGTTGGCAGGAAAAATCTCTCTTATTGCGATCTGTACTGCAACCAGTCAGAGTTAAATTTCTGGGGGTTTTTTGCGTTTTAACTCATTATTATTATTACGGATGAAACCGGAAGCTTTCATCCACCAAATAAATGGGAACATAGACCAAACTTCTCTGGTTTAAGGTCAGTCGGATTTAAAATATACCCACATGTATGCCAAAGCAAAGACATCATAATCGAGGCTTTGTCACATTGTGTAAAGATGCAATAATCATTCTGTATGTAAACTCTTGATTTTCAAGACATAAATAAATAAATAATGATAAATGTTGGCATTTAACAGATATAATTTATCTTAGTATTTTCTAAACAGGAGAAGCTTGGTCTAATTTTACTTTCAAACAGTTTTGGTGTATGCAAACTTCTGGTTTCAACTGGGTATTCATTTTCATAACCAATCTCAAGAAATATCTAAAACTCTTATGACAGAAAAAAGAGGAATAAGGCATCAAAAAAGGCCCATTGAGAGTTAAGTATTTTTATTTTTTTTTTTGGATTTTGACATTTCTGACTCAAAGAGTTAATGATATATGCACTTTAAAGAGATCATATTCGTATTCTTGGCTACACTTTTGGGCTAGTTTGTGTTATTACTGGTCAATCTTATATTCTTTTTTCAGTTGAGACTCCTATAAAGATGAGAGCTATATTTGCAAATATTGACATGAGTCTTTATACCAGTTTAGACAGTAACGTCGCCATAATGGGAGCATTTTTACCCGTTGTTCTTCTCTTGCTGCAGCTGCAGTATGTCATTGTTATGTATGGTTGTACTTTGGTGAAACTGAAAAAGATCTGTCTTCAAAAATCCTGTGAATCCCAGAAAAACCACACTCAGGCTGCTTGAAGGACAACATGCATGTAACGCTGGGTCTCATCTTTTTGACAATAATGCCGGGGCTTTATTTAGGCTATGTAAAAGGATCACTCAGAAGAGGAAGCTGAAAATGGAATACCACAATGCTGTGTTACTGTAGAAATTGCAACTATATCCTCTAGATATACAGTTTTAAGCTTGAAATGGAGTGTTTTGGAGAGGGTGGCTTACTTCGTGTGAAAAGCAGGGAGTGCATTATGAAATCCACTCTTCTTTTTAAACATATTCCCCTTAGGCGCAAACATCCAATATTGAAATTCCAAAAGTAAAGATGCCTTGAAGGCATAGGCGAGGAGTTCTCCTGGAACTAATAGACTATGAAGTTGGAGAAACAGCATTGATGTCTACAAATATGCTGCTGCTTTGTGTCATTATTCAAGAAGATCGCTGATTCCGATCTCTAACTTAGGAAGTCTGGCAGGAATAGAGTTTATATTCCAGTATACGCTGCGAGGAAAATTATAGACATTTTATTATGCGCTCAGTCATTTGAAACTTAATTGAAGGTCGTGTGAACTCTTTGTTCTTGCTGCATTAGAAGAAGTGCTAATATTTGAACAGATTTCCTGAGCACAGGCTGCAGTTAAAATCAGGTATCGTGCAATTTTATTGCACACTAACATGTTCCTAACATGTTTTTAATTCATTTCTATGTATTTTTAAACAATTAATGGGGACATGTGGGTTAGGGTTATGAATTTTAGTGAATTTCTACAAAAGAACTAAATAAAATATATCTTAACACGGGTTATTTCCCCAACTCAAGTATACTTAAATTCAAGTTGGAAAAAAAAAAAAATCTAATTATATTATATGCAAATTTATTTTAAGGGTTCCATCTTTATTGATGTTACATTTGTAGGGCTCTTTAACGCTTCTGAAAATGTGAACTGATGTGTATTGTCAAAAAAATTCATGTATTGTTCATTTTTTGACAGATATGCCAAACGTGTTGAATATCTGGAATATCATGTCAGTAATTCTCTAGAATTAGTCATATGTTTTTTAAACTTTTAAACCAAGGTGTTGTGATTAAAATGGACAAAATGTTGACTAAAAAGCAGAGCCAAAAAGATACATTCTTCTCAATCTGCAAAAACCAAAGCAATTTGTTGCACTCCATCTATTTTGGTAGCATTGTGTTGTTTTTAAACTATGTTTTTATGATACGGATTGATCTAAAACAAAATGACCTTATTTGTCATTTTGACATGGAAAGACAGGAGTCTATGTAGATGCACCAGATGCTGCTTATGAATTTTTCTTGAAACAGTGTGAGAAGAGAAACCATCAGACAGATGGCCTCTCTTCTGACTTAGCAGATTTTTAAGGGCCTTCAATGAGTTCAGCAGGTTATAAAGTCAACATTTTTATTCCTAAGTATGAAAACATGTTTTCCTAAGTACTCATGTCTGTTTTACAGAGTTAAATAAAACTGGAATGAGAACAAGGCTGTTTCTAGCTGCTTTCTGCTCAGATTTGACCTTTATTTCCAATGAACCAACAAGGAAACTCATGAATAACATTGACAGAGAGGCAATCTGTAAGAAAACTGCAAGCTTTCTTAAAGACACACCTCTGTCAAAACACTTTTATGTAGCTAAGCATGTCTGTTGGAACACTAACAAGAAAATAAAGTGAATTGCTTTGAAAAAAAAAAGAGGGGTCATTAATGTCAGGGCATGACGGGAAAGAAAAAGAAACTTGTAAAAAAAAAGATGGCTTGGGTGGTAATCACTTTATGAGGTACAATATGGCAAATAGAAATTGTAAAAAAAAAAAAGCATGTAACAAAACAACAAAAGCAGCAATCAAATTGCAATGTTCCCAGTTTTCACTCCTCTAAGACTTTACGAGAGTGAGCAGAGACAGAGACTGAGAGAGGGGCTCCATGTGGCACCTTGATTAATGGACAGATGGTAAGGCCACTGAGCCAACTCTTTCTCTCTGTCTGTGTGTGTGAACTCCAGGGGAGTTCAGTTGATGTGCTGAATCTACTGACTCAAACAAGGTCTATATGTCAGCCACTTTTACACGCACACACACATACATGTTGATTTCTGAGTACGCAGACGAAGACAAAGGGGAAAAGTAAAGAGTTCGGCCACTTTACAATAACTTTGGTAAATGACTGTGTGTGTGTGTGTGTGTGTGTGTGCGTGTGTGTATATGTGTGTGCCCATTAAAGCTCCGACGAGTACTTGTGCTTCTGGAATGCTGTGTGCCACCTTAATGATGTCATCAATCATTCGCTGTGCCCATTGGTCAATCTATCTGCTACTGTAGGAAGTTTGTTAAAGGAGCCAGATTGGACATCCTGAACAAAGTTTTGATCCCAGGAATATGGCTCTATCGATCTAAGATTAAACTTTTACCAAAGCGAGTGTAGTTAAGAGTAACTTAATGAACCCAGAATGATTGCAGAACTGTGGAAAAAGTTTTGAACCACGTCGATATCTTTATACTTTGCTTCTTCAGGCCTTCAGAATGTCTTCCAGTGTTATTAGACATTACCTGCAATTAATTTTTTTGCCAGTATTCATGGCTAATTATGATCCACAATATTACCCAAATGGAAATGTATCTGTTTTGTTTAATATTTTTAATATGGTCATGTGATGAATGATTTTTGTTCAGTGAAGCCGTGAATATTTAATAATCCTACCTTTCAAACGACCTGAAAGTAAATTCCCCAAACGACTTATTATAATTCAACCACACACATGATTGATGTAAGCAATTTTGTTCATCTTACTGATTGAGGAGTTGCTATGGTAGAGATTTTACTAAAGTAGTAGAGTGAATAAAGCCCTGGAAAGCCAAAACTCACTTGGCTCACCCCACACATACACATACACATCGAGTAGAGAGATCCCAATCCAGTTGAGCATCTTTGGGATATGCTGGACAAACAAGAAGAACCCATGGAGCCCTCACCTCACAATGTATTGGACTTAAAAAATCCAAAGCTAACATGTTGGGGCATGATACCACAGCATAACTTTGGTGATCTAATTTAGTCCATGCCTCACCCAATGTGTTTTGGCAGTATAAAGGTGATCAAGACAATGGCCAATCAATTAATTAGTTTCTAATTAGTTTAGAATTCCACGGTTCAGACAGAAAAATATGCATTACAAAAATATTTTTCAACTTGATCAATCTCTATGGTATCATGCCAAACCAAAGACTTCATCTGCACTGTGAGCATTTTGAAAACTCATCCGCGTGATTACATTTTATCTTATTTTGTCTTTGATTTTCCTCTCTTGAAGCGTTCTTCGGTCTGTCTTACTGGAATGCAGCGTCAGAGAGATAATCTACGGCACGCAAGGGTTAACCGTTCTTTGTATGCTTCGGTAGCTCTCGCGGTATGGATGATTGAAGCTGAGCCTCCACTGCAGAGACGATTCAGTAACCACAAAGGCCATCCTGCTGAGGAGGCAGCAAAGTCACAGTATAGACCTTTAAATGTAAGGCAGCGTAGACGGGTAAAAAGAATCATCGGTTGAAACACAGTAGCTGGGCTCTATTAAAAATTAAAAACCTTCCCAGAGTGGTGATGTTAGTGTTTATGGGGGCACGTTAGTAATGCTATGAAGCCATAAAACAAAACTTTGGAGAAAAATGAGCAAAGGGCATTGGAGCTACATTATGAGAGACTTTGGCACAGCGATCCTTACTTGAAACCTCATTTAATTTTGGTTCACTTCCAAACTGTTTATGTGGGTCACTAGTTTGTGTGAGTTGAAGTCAGGTGAAGAAGGAGAGCCCCATGGGTTTTCCTTTTAGTCTAAAGAAAATGAGGTGTGGAACTTTAGTCATCAGTGTGGACTCATTGGTCTTGTCTATATTGTACGTGTCAAAACTAGCCATTTAATCTTAACAGTGTGCTTTTGGTAAAAGACGGATCTTATAAAACATCTTAATTTCATCTGGAATAAATCAAAGCTTTGAAAATTGTGTTGCTCTTGTGGCTTCAAACCCATGAAACAGTGTGCCAGTTTCAGATAATGAAGAGAAGGAAAGAAAAAGAGTAAATCAAAGTTTGATCTTTCTGTTTTCCTTCTCCCGGCAAAAATCACTTCTGTTTTATCTAAGCCCGCGTGACTCTAAGGCATAGAAATGGAAGTATCCTTTGGCATTGGTGTGTTTGACACAGTGGGCAAAAGCAGCTTGTTAAATATTACTACTGTCCCTTTTTAATGAGCAGCAATGTCCACATAAAGAGGGAGGAAAGTCTAATTTGGCTCACATGTGAAACCACTGTTTTCCTGTCAATTGGTTTCCACCAACTAACGGCACTGCAAGTCCTATTTTGGGGCTATTTTTTGCTTAACTCACAAAGAGGCCCAATCTCGGGGAAGAAATCTTGGGGAAGGTTTTTCACAGAAAACAACACAATAAACTAAACGTATTTAATTGAGATACAAAACAGGTGATTGGAAGGAAGCCATCGATGATTAAAAACTTTTTTGTTTTGAGAAAACTTATTTTTTTCCTCTTTTAATAACAAATGATCTTTTAGCTCTTTTAAAGTTGATAATTTGGTGGCATTTACTGTGTTTTTTAATTATCGCTCCTTTTGACTGTGATCCAAGCTAAAAGCCACCTTTTCCGAAGACAGAGAAGTCTGAACTAATTGGTCTACTTTGGTCTAAAACTTATAATTTGCCAAAAAGGATTGAGCTTGAAATTATGACAGGATATCCAAGAGGTTTCACTTAAGTCACGAAGTTTAAACACTTTGGTACCAAATACTGAGAACTTGTGTGCCCACTTCTGATTTCAAAGAATTTAATAAATAAAAACTTTTACACCTTTTCTCTCACTGATGTGGCATTTATGAAATAGAAATAATCTTTGGTAATTCTAACTGACCTAAAACAGGAGAAGTTTGGTCTGATTAATTGTCTGATGGTGAGAAAAAACAGTGTATGTAAACTTCCAGTTTAAACTTGACAGTAAAGACAGTCACCGAATACTTTTAACGGCCGCAAAAAAAAGGGCTGAAGGTTCTAAATGGAAAAATTAAATGGCATTCAAGTGCTGAATAAATTGATGTTGTTTTAATGTAAATTATAGGATGTTATCCTCTCTGGTAATTCTGGTGATAACTCTCTCTGCAGTGTCGCTGCAGCAACATAGAGCCCATTTTGCTGTTGTCACGGTGATGGGTCGGCCATTTGTTCAGGATACGCTGATTGAGCTGTCAAAGCGTACGCATACTTACAAAGGCACACAAACTTTCTGGAGGCACACAGATGAATCATTTACCTCGTCTAACTCAAGCATGCGCATGCACAATTTATCACCATGGTATCTCCTAGAGTATAAATCGCAACCAGCCGAAGACGAGGGAAGGTCAGTCAAAGTTGCAACGAGAATTATAGAAACAAGACTCAGATGGGGCACAGTCAGGGAATTCAAGCATCAAGCTAAGAGACACTCGCGAGTGATATCAGTTTTTCTCTAACGGGACTTGTACTTGTTTTGACACTCTCATGCAGCGCCTCTTGGACACACTCCATTACACACACAATGAAAAAAAAAACGTTCTTGCACACAAACTGCAGTATGATTCTTTCATTCCCCTCCTTTCCTTCACTGACCACTAAGTAAAAGTGGCGGCATAGAGAGTGATCATGGGAGAGAGAGTACATAAAAGTCTGTGTCTTCGTGGATTTGAAGTGGTTTGAGAGAACAGTTGGAATTTGTCTTTGATACTTATTTGTTTAGGAGAACAAAAAATTTAAAATGGATGTACTCTTAAATGGGGTCACATATGTTTTCATGGCACTGAAAGCCTATTAGGTTTATTATTCAGGGATATTTTTTTTTTGTCTCTGCATGTTTGTACTGAATGTTTTTGAAGTGGTGTACAACAGATAATGTTGTTTGGTTTCTCTTTCTCTCTCTCTCTCTCTGTGTGTGTATGCTGACTGTATGTATTCTTATGGCCTGCTGCTGAATAAACTCATTAAAGAGCCAAACTCTGCTTCAAACCAACCAGAAAATTACCTCCCGAGTCTAGCAGGACGACCCAAGGACAGACAAGCAGCTTCTCTGTCACATCCAGTCAGAGAACAAAGCCTAATGAAGGCTTAGTTGGTTTATCGAACACCAAGCATGTGTCGTTTTAAACACCCCACTGAATGCAACACTAAGTGTCGCTGTTTGAGGTTTTGCATGGCTTTGCGTCGTAAAGCCTGGCATTTCAAATACATTTTTACACAAAATCACGATTTAACCGACATGCAGGAAGTATTTGTTCAGTTTGATGCCATCTCAAAGTGGCTTCGTCTTTAAACTTACAGTTTGTCTTTAGACATGCAACACTGTAAGTGAACACGATTACATTCCTGCTCTGAAATTGTTTACTTTAAATAGATGTTTGAAATAAATAGCTGGTAAATGTCTTTATCAGTCAACAGCACAACTCCAGCTAATCCTGTGGTATTTCACACCCAGTAGCTTCCAATTAAGTAATGTTATCCAGGGAGATGCTGCTGACAGTATCAATAACATCTATGTGACCTTCTGTTCCTCTTTCTGTTCCTCTCCCTACTTCAGTCTTATCTTCTTGTTTCTCTTCACTTCCTGAGCTCACACGCTCATTCCTTCCAGCTCTCAGCTGCATTGATGTCATTTTTAATTGTTCGTCACTGAACTCCTGCTTTGACCCTCAAATGATGCGAATTGGCTTTCTGTTTTTCACTGTGAGAGGCTCGGGCAAAGCGTCACCTAAACACGTTAATTAGAAAGGTAATTGTGAATGCCTGGTATTGCGGTGGCTCTGTGTGCAATAGCTTTTTGCTAATGTCTCGGCTAAATCTACAGTTCTCACCGATGACGAGATCAATATGTCCTTTTTTCTCTTTTCTTTTTATAGCAAAGACGTGTGGCAGTAATCTTCAGGGGCCATCGGGGACCTTTACATCTCCCAACTTTCCAATTCAATATGAGAGCAATGCCCAGTGTGTGTGGATAATTACAGCCTCAAATCCAAATAAGGTAAGAACGCCATTATTTATTTTGATTTAGTATATGAAGCAATAATAATTTAGCTCAGCTTTAGCTCAACCCTTGCATATTTTGATTCCAAGGAAAACTTACCTTCTTGTTATCTTTAAGGTGAACTTGATCAGAAACTTTGATGGTCCTTCAAAGTATGTCTTTTAACTCGAGCTTGCCTTTTCATGTAGTTCTGGTTTTTCCAGTAATTGTGGATTTTTTATTTATTTTTTTTGGTAAACCATCTAACTCTGGGGAATAAAATGAAAATTTAAAGAAAGCGGGGTGAGCATCTGTATAAATAAGGGGTTATAACGCATCTTTTATGTGTGATGATTGGTCAGACACTAAACATGTCATGATCCTTTCTGTATAATTTTACCCACCACTTTCCAAAATTATTTAGGTTAACTAAAACAATTCCAAAGTTTTCTTGCGTGCCTATCTGAAACATTTTTTGAAGGTGGCACTACAGTCATTTATGCTAGCTGTGGGTTAAAGATAATATCTCCCACCAAAATTAGGTCTACATGCCTACTGGCCAAGAAAAGTGGGAGTTATACTAGAGGAATATTAACTAGCATGAGGACCAATGACTGATCAAGATCGGAACCTCCATTTAGTAGTGGAATTTAGTGATGGGTGGGTTCAGTTTTAAGCATGTTTCTTCGATTTAAGTAGGCTATGCCTTTAATAACTACCTAAAACATGATGCATTAAATTTAGTTTTAACTGAAATAAAAATCTGATCTTTTACAAAGTTAATTTATTTTTTTTTTTTTTTTTTAGTAAAGGGATTCAGGGTGATGGAGCAGCAAATGCTCAAAAGATATCGGTTTCTAACTCGGTGAGATCATTTAATCCCCACAAAGGAGCAGGGATGGGTTGAACGCCAGATAGAAATCTGCCATTGGCCCTTTTCTCTCTCAGGAGATATCTGATTGGTATTCTGAGGCACATCCTTGTTTGACTCTGGCTCCCTTTGGCGACTGCACTGTCGTCAAGGGCAACACCTGCATCAGCATGATGGAGCTGTACTTACACATTCGCACAAACACTCAAAACAATGCTGTATATGAGGGAGTAGAAATACAGCTGCTTTCTTTCACCCTCACAACAAAAAAGACACATTTTTAGGGACTTTGCTTTTTACCAGAAAAGCTCCTCTTCTCTACTTCTTTCTCCCCTCCGAAACTCCCACACACAGCGCTCTCTGTCACTGCCCAAGGCCTCTGGTTTATGGCCTACAGCAATACATTCTCTCTTGAAGGCTATGCTGTGTATGTGACTGCTGAAGGCTACGTTACTAATGCCCTCCGCACCGTTCGTGGTGTGCATGCGTGTATGTGTGTGTGTCTGCACCTTACATACATACATAAAATTAATGTATATGTATTTTAAATGGTAATGGACATAATGACATAAAATGAAGACCAAATAATCTTCAGCTACATCAGTGCATTATATCCTACTTTACCCACACAACCGTATCAAGGACTGGTATGTGACATACTGCATCATCTCCATGTCACCCGCACCACTGAGTCCAACGCATGGCTCTTCTCACACATCATGTAGACAGCATGCCATGTGCCGTGCTGAATCACACCCCATATGGAGTAAAGTTCGTCTTGAATGTCATTTCTTCGGAGCAGAAGTTTATAGGGGTCTATATTTTTGAACAGCACTATATTTAAAGGGGAATGACGTCAAGTGTATGTTGGATAACACCTGAAACACAAATTACACACAAGTAATAAAAGGCTTTCACTAATTGGAAACATTGCAACCATTGTGTACTAAACCAAAGTGCTTTCTAATAGGATCTTTTAGAGAGCTAGAATGCTTTTAGTTTTTTCCTCTCATTGTTTGCAGTGCAGCTACTACTGACTTACCAGGACCCCCATTGTTATTACTTTGTTCAACCCTCTTTTGCCAGTAGGATAGCAATTATAGTCTTTTCTCGACATTTTCCTGGGTAGGCCCTCTTCCCTGCTGCGTATCCTCTTAGATCACAATATACATTTAAGAAGTTCCTTCGAAAAACTTTCTGGGGAACTTACAAAGCAAAACAACCGTCCAAACTGATTAACATTTTGGTTGTGATTAATTCCTATGGTTTATGGGTTGGTCCCAGTTTGGCCATAAGATTTGACTTGGGGAGAAAGAGATGCGACTTGATTTATACTTGCCCCTCTAGAGCCAAGTCATAATTTGGAATTACCCCAATAAGACCCGAGACTTAAAAGTACTGTCCCCGTAAAAAGTTCACTTGCTCTTTTTAGACTTGAACCCATCATTTGGAATTAAAAAATGATGTGAACGTCTTGGGTTTAACAAGGAAAAGTAATTAGTGATATATTTCACCAAAATTAATCCTACTCCTGAGGTGAAAGCACACTCCATTCAGGTAATGAGAAAAGTATTGATCATTCACAGTTGCTCTTTCTATTTTTTTTTTCTTAGAAAATAAAAACATGGTTACTAGCATTTATAACAGAACAATAGTTGTGGCTTTTGCTACAGTTGAGACCGAGATGGTCTTAGTGTGTATAACAAAATATTTGCTCACATATTAACATTCGATCACAGCTCAAATGTTTGGGCAGGACAGGAAGTCATTAGGTACGGAACCCAACAGGAGACAGAGGCATGATATTATGGTGCAAAAAAATAATTTAGTTTTTAGAAAGCCAGACTCATGTTGAGCAGGTGGCAGAAGACAAATACACAGTAGGAAGCTGGCAGGTAAACAACAGGTAAAGGCAAGGAACACCTGCCAAAACTGAATAGGAGTGGGGACTATCTGGCATACGTGCATTAAAAATCTGTTCTCAATTAGAACAATAATGAAAGAACGAGGAGCAGCTTAGCAGACTGGAGGGTGGTCACTTGATGTTCAGGGTGGGGAAGCCAACCAGATAAAAGTCTGAGGCTGATGAGAGGAGGACAGGGTTTTGTGCAAGTGGGATAGTATGGAGAAATCTCAACGGTTCATGTGTCCAAAAGTAACTGCATTTAAAATTCTTTATGGCAAATGTATCCCGCTATTTTCTCTCCCTCTCCTTTTCTTTCATTATACATTTTTTTCATTATCCTTTTCTCTCTTTTTCAACATGCACATCCCTCCTCCCTCTGCAGTCCCAGAGGCTCTGTCCTTAGAATTACCCAGATTCTTCATTAAAGAGCTCAGGCTGAAACCATTAAATTACTATGAAGAAAGACAGAACGCAGGCAGGAGGCAGGGTGCGAGTAAAGGGTGAAATCTGTTTTTTACTATTTTATGGGTATGTCTCTGCCCACTGCACCTATTCACACACGTCTCAGTGTCTGCTTATACCCTAAAGACAAAAAATGCAAAGTTTGGTAGCACATTCTTTCTTCTTCTATATGTCTCGGTAGCCTTATTTCTTCTTTTCCTCTCCTCCTCTGTCGATCTATCCCTCGGCTCCTTCCTTTGCAGGTTAAGTGTTAATGGAGTTCTATAGCTCTGTGATGTTATTGCTTCATTTAGTTTTGGCAGAATGAGCCTTTAGAGCCAATTCATTCTATCCTGTTCTCATTTAACCTTGGGGATAGTAGGACAGGGTGACCATTACTCGAATTTTTTTTTTCCTTTCTCTTCTTCTCTTTTTCTTTTGTTTCTGTCTTCTGGTTGCTTCTTGTAATGTGTTCCACTACTTTCCCCTTGATTTTATGTCTTATTTTGCTTCCTCCAAATCATTTTTGAAGCATACGTGGTTTAATGTGTTAACAAAAGGCCTCACTGATGCACAAGTTCTAGATTAAGCATTTTGCATTAGTATTCATGTAAGTACTGGCTAGTACACAGTCATCCTGATCTATGCAGTGGTGTGTTTTGATAAAGGTGATTTGGCTAGCTGCCCAGGGCTTCTTTTGGTGATAGAGATGCACTGTAGCTACAAAATAAAGGAAAAAGGGAAGGAGAAAATTCTTTCACTTGGACCCCTGCCAAATTTTTCATTGCTTACTTTCATAGTGAGTCAATGAGGATTTGACACCCTTGTGTGTGTGGAGTGTAAGCTCTGAAAGAAAATGTGACTATGCACTGAGCATGGTTACTAAAGTTTGGCACTAAATTAGGGAGCTATTTCACAAGACCCATTTGAAATAAAATCAGAGTAAACTAATGAGTAAGTATTAGAACAATTATTTTCTGAACACTTTTTTTAAAACATAAATTTTCTTTAAATTCACAAGTGTAGATCCATTTGATCAAATTGGAGCACAGTGACTTGGTTAGTAGCACAAGTGCACCATGTGCAGAGGCCATATACTCATGCAGCTGTTGAGGGCTTTATGTGTATTACTTCCCAAGCCGGGACCTGCTAGCTGAATCATTAACCTTTTTAGGCCTGTGAAAACGAATTCCTGCTATGATTGTTATTCAGCAGCGTTTCAGGTGCCATATTAATAACATTCGCCGTTAGTCAAACGTATTAATCCCATAGTTGCATAGCAGCTGTGTCCAGCAGTGCCTTCTACCTCTGCGTCCTGCTCAGAGTTGCTATCTAGTACGAAGGAACCTGGTAGATTCGGCTCAGTAAAATAGAAGCAGCAGATGAAGCATGAAGCAGCGGTGGGTGTTAGCCATCAGTCTTCATTGCCTAAAGCCCAAGTCTCCTCACAATGACACATCTCGGCCAAAACACGATCAGTGGGAGCAGGGAGTTTGCTGTAAAGCTGTCACAGATGAACAGTTGTTCGACCATCCCTGATGATGTCCACTTTACATTGCTGGCTCTTTGACTCGGCAGACATTTTATATATTCCTGTGGTAACAGTAATATTCAAGAAATCCCCACATTTTATAAAGGTACGAGCAGGGAGGAGCCTCGCTCGCCTCATTTTCTGCACGACAGCCAAAGTAAGTGCTTTATCACACAGAAATCCAATTCTGTTGCCTGATTGGCTTGGAGCCATACATGAAGAGCAAGATAGAATACAGCAGCCAATTAGGAAGAGAGATAGCGAGGGGG